GAGTCTGGATTTGAAGGAGCTTAGAGAAGGTGACTTCTCTGATATCCTTCACCTTCCGCCGAAACCGGTCTCAAAGAGTGCGCAGTTCTGGTCGGAGGGGAGGAAGGGCGGAACTCGGACGCTGCTTTGACACCACGGACAGGACAGGCCGGCAGGTGGTTCTGGACTCGTGTTCTGACCCGCACAGAGTCAACAGATGTTACAACACCGTGCATTCAGTTCTGTGGCGACTCGACAAAAGAATGCAGTAGAATCAGTCCTAACAATAACCCTGACAATAACCCACGGAACAGCCTAAACTTGTTTGAATGAAAAGTACAGATGTCGGGCGTGCGTCCTGCGGGTTTCAGCCACCCCTTCCAATTTATCCTCTGTATCCGTCATGTACTGTTGTTATCATTTTATGCACCAGTATGCGATTGATGTGACTTTTATGTTGTGTTTTGTGGGTGATTAATGTTTGACGTACTTTTCCACTTTTCATGAGAGGAGCCGAAGCCAAATTTCCACAGTGCTGGGCCATGAAGTATCCACCTGCTAATGAAACAGAGCTGAAACCGCAGAGTGCGGAGGCCGGGAGGAAAGATTTGGAAACTGGGAGGCGGAGGGGGCGGAGACAGGAACCCGCTCTACTATCATCAGGGAGACTTCCTGAATTCGCGGAGTCACTCTACAGAACCTGTCTGCGCAAGAGCTTGTCCAAGGCATCACCTGCGAAGCATGTCCGATAAGAAGGTGATCGTCGTTTTCGGCGCAACAGGTGGGTAACAGCAGTTGTTTTCCCCCCGATCTTAGAAGAGTTCAAGCGACCAGCCAGACCCGTCGGACAACCGCACGGCAAAGATAAAAATATATATTTAGATATAAATATATCTTCTTTAAAAAAATCAAAGGCGACTCAAAGGAAATCGCAAAACCCAACTGTTTCTCGAGTTGGTATGCGCGGTTGTGTGTGCTTCTTTGCTCAGCTGCAGTTTTCTGTGGAGACTCGCAGAGTTCATGTTGGAAGCCCTAAAACGTCCTGTAACCGTATTTGTAAGTTTCGCTCTCTATTTTAAAACAAGCGTACTGCTACCTTAAACGGGCACACGGTACCCACCGCCTGTCCTCCCACTTGTGACTTCGAGTTTTGTGTTGCAATGAAAACAGAGTGCGCGGTGCCCAGGAGTTTGAAAGGGACAGCGCGGGGCGGGACGAGACTAGAGGCTTGTCTACAGGTCGCTCCCTCTCCTGAAGGTTGTAGGTCTGTCTGTTTATCCGAGCGCCTGAGCGCTCGTCCCCGCGGTGGCAGTCCGGGTGCGTGACAGCGCCGCGCGTGTGCGTGTCTTTCCCCGCAGGCGCGCAGGGGGGCTCGGTGGCGCGGGCTCTGCTCCAGCACCCGGGGTTCGAGGTTCGGGCCGCGACCCGGGATCCCAAGAAGCCGGCTGCGGTGGAGCTGGGCCGCCTGGGAGCCCAGCTGGTGAAGGCCGACGTCGGCTGCCCGGCGGAGGTAGAGGCGGCCCTGCGCGGCTCTTACGGCGCCTTCTTGGTCACCAACTTCTGGGAGCACTTTGACAAGAGCACGGAAGTGAAGCAGGTACGGACAGGCCCGGCCGGGCTCGGTGCACGACGAAGGGCAGAATGGTTTTCCAGCCGTCTCCTTGAGTCTCGCTGGCGATCGATGAGGTGCGCAGTACTGGTGCGTGCTGGCCGGGCAGTGTAGCCGGCTGGCATGTCTGTCTGCACAGCTCCTTGGGATCAGGCACACGGTCCACTGGTTCACGTGGTGCAGGTGAGGGAGCAGGCACATAGAAGAGCTGACCGGAAGTGGGAATATAATTATATGGCATTTCTATTACATTGCATAAGTGCATGCAGATCAGGGGCATGCGTGAGAAATTGCATCAACAGCTTAATTAAGGCACAATGTCTCCTGTATGCGTGTAACTTTTGATTAATTGATTACCAAGGTTGCACTAAAACCCAGAAGAGGCCCCAAAGAAGCTGAGCCTGACACCCCTAACTTCATGTCTCATTTCTTGCTACATGCAATTCTGCTCTTTACAGAGGGTGGTGGGTCTGACCTTTGTTTCCACTGCAAGCCTGTTCTGTTTAAGCACGAACAGGCCCGACAGCAGTGACAGATTCTCCCCTGACAAGCTGAAAAGCCGGGTATGAGCGTTTTTTTTTCTCTCTAGCTGGTAGAGCCAGGCCCCGCCCTCTGTTGTGGCCCCGCCCACCTATCAAAATAAGGAGTGTCCCGCCTGGCTCATTCCCTCCTTCGAGTCTATGGGACCGACATAACGTCCCGTAGCATTTTCCGAATGAAAAAGGGACAATCTTATCCCATAAGGCAACGCACGCAGGCACGGTTAAGAGAGACATGCTAGGCGGGTCGTGCTATTGAAGACGGGCTGGTGTTTGCGCCTGCAGGGTAAGATGGTGGCGGACCTGGCGAAGAAGCTGGGCCTGCAGCATGTGGTGTACAGCGGGCTGGAGAACGTGCACAGGCTGACCGGGGGGAAGCTGACGGTGCTGCACTTCGACGGCAAAGGAGAGGTGAGCACAGGGGGGCGGGGCGGGGCGGGGCGTGTCTGAAACTCCCCCCTCCAGAACTGTGGAGGTGACGTTTTCCTGGAGAGTGTGCTCCAGGGTACTTGATCCTGTTTTAGAATCAGATCCTGTTTCTTGATTTTTTTTTTTAATTATGAAAGGCTGGAGGCTTGGAATTTAGCTCTCAGTGTAGCAAACAGCCATGCACAGGTTATAATTACGGTTCCCTTGGTTCAGCTCTCGTTCCTCTGTGAATTTTGTATGCTGACACGTAGTGTAAAATCTTACCCTTGTTAAACTGGGAGATCATGGAGGGTCCTAGTTTCTCTTCAAAGCACCAACATCTCAACAGCTAAAATAAACTGTTAAATGAGTTTGTTAATCCATTAATGAGCTCACTGAGGTCATTAGGACTGAAAACCTACAGAGACACTGGCTCTTACTTGAAGACAACAAATATGGTTTCAGTCCTTCCCCCATTTCCTTCTACGTATTTAAGAAGCGTGACCAGACTAAATGATCTTTGCTGGTGCCACTCCCCCAGCCTGCAAGAGTCCCCTCTTGGAGAAACCTTCGCCTCCGTGCTGTCCCTGTACGTGTGCGTCAGTGTTTGTTTTCCCCGCGGGACACTTCCTGTTGTGCCGTGATCAGGTGGAGGAGTACTTCCGGTCCCTTGGCGTCCCGACCACCAGCGTGCGCCTTCCCTTCTACTTCGAGAACTTCACCTCCTTCTTCAAGCCCGCGAAGGCGACCGACTCTGGTGCCTATGTGATAGGTGAGTGTTGAGCTGGCCGGCTGTCGTCTTCATCCCACAACGGTCTAAGGACTGTCCCGGGCGCCCTGACCTCAGCTCTCTGTACCCTATTTCAGTTCAGTAGTTGGGCCGATCCGTATGTCGGGCACAATTCGTGTGCTGAGCTTTATTGAGGTAACTCTCCTGGCTGAGGAGAATGAAAGTCTGTCTGTAAGGAGGGAGGTGTCCAAACCCAGCTTTACTGAGGGAGGAGCCAGGCAGCAGCTGCCAGGGGAACAGAGTTTTATATGTGCACACAGGCAGAAGTAAATGTGGCTGCTGGCAGTATGGAGATCGGCATTACAGTAACTCTCAACTCTTAAAATATTTACCCACCTTGACCGTTCTGATGCACGTGATTGATGGAGTCTTTCTCTGGCTGCCCCAGCCTGTCCAGAGCTCCTGTGTATTCTCCTGAACTCTCAGCTGACCAGCCCCTCTCTCCTCAGGGGTCCCCATGGGTGATGTGCCCATGGATGGGATGTCCGTAGCAGACCTGGGCCCTGTGGTGGTCAGTGTCCTGATGAACAGGGAGGAGTTTGTGGGGAAGGACATTGGTCTGAGCGCGGAGCGACTGACCGTCCAGCAGTACTGTGAGGTCATGACCCGCTGTCTGGGAAAGACCTTTGTTGACGCCAAGGTATGTTTTTTTTAAATTGTTTTTACTCTGACGAGTTAAAGGGTCCGAGACCTCTTGTACGAGGAGTGTTGTATGAAAGAAGTTTAAACACAGTAGGCCATGTGGTTCATGCAGCTGATGGCAAAGTGACCACCGCATTCCCTGGTCCTGCTGGCTCTCAGAAGCTAAGCAGGGCTGGGCCTGGTCAGTACTAGACTAGGAGACCTCTTGAGGGAAGCCAGGCTGCTGCTGTGAGATGTCGGTGGTGATCCAGTAGGTGGCGCTCCTCCATCTGGACTACCCTTACTAAATCACTTCAGCACTGTTGTGACCGGGGACACTTCTGTGGGAAACGATAAACTGAGGTTCTAACTACTTGGTCATTAAAGATCTCAGGGCACAGAATGAAACAGGAGAGGTGATAACTCTGTCCTGGATAATTTGCACTCCCTGCACCTCAGTGTTAAGTAGTGCTATACGGATGCCTTAAATGAGTGTTATTAATCTTAAACGACATCTGTGAAACAGTAATCAGTCAATTACATTTAGATGGTCCTTTCAATCTCAGAGGATCCCAAACTACTTTACACACAGGAGGAGACCCACTTCACCCCCACTGCAGTGCAGTTCCACCTGGGCGGCGTGTGGCACTCATATAAGTCATTTTTCTCTCATTT